GGAGGCTGAGGCTTCCCCTATAGGGGGAGACTGTGGTAATTAATCCCATAATCTTCATAATAAATGATTATGAGAATTATGTTGATTATCTCCATAAATTTGAAGTGATGATTATGAAATTCAAACTCAAAATTACAAGAGGCACACCAACACTTTGAAGCATGAGGAGAATTTGAAGAAGAATGATAGTTAAAATTCATTTTATAAAAGTGAAATTGTCTTTTGTTTTGGTTTGTTGTTATGGTTTTTGGTATAGTCTATTTTATAATCTAGTGTATTGCTTATGTTGTTTTGTTTTTTTTTCTTTTTGTTGTTTGTTGTTATGATTTTATTGTTGATTATGTTATTATCTATATAAGGTAAAGCAATCCCATCTTTTTGTTTCGACCGTTTAAAATCTATTGTATTGTAGGGGGTGCGGTCTGTAAAAAGACGGGATTGCCTCATGCTAACTGTTATATATCAGGTTGATGAGAAGACGAGCACGATGGGCAGCAGGAGCCTTGTTTTCGGAGTTGGTGAGCACTGTGGTCAGCGTACTTATGCTTACTTCATAGCGAAACAGATCGAAACATCATACCTTCTCAAATCCTTCTCAATTGTCTCTTGATTTTGAAACCGCTGAAAGCATTTGTAGCCACGATATGATCAGACAATGACTAGTGACTTTAGTGAGAATGGCATTGCGGACTCAAAATTCTCAAAAGTAGGCCAAATTTGTCACAGACGTTGGTGAAACTATGCGAAATGGGCTATACAAACGCAGAACTAGAACGCACTTTGGATGTGACCTCAGTGGCCGGCCAATTTGCCTCAATTTGCCTTAGGTGGATGAGTATGCCTCATCACTGCTGCTACCCCAGCTCTGGATTCAGAATTGCTACGTAGGCTGTCAGATAGGATTAGCAACAAGGTTTTCACATACTCTAGTACATAACCATAGATTGGTACTGAATTTTTGTTTCTTGCCTTGGAGAGTTCTAGAGATTCATAGTCTGCACTTCTGTCAATGGTCTGCAACACCTTGTTTTGATGGAGCAATATTGAAAGAAAGGTGTTTCTGCAAAAAGAAGCACGGAAGTTCCGTCAACAGTTTCTGTCGAAACTGTCAAGCTTATCAAAGAAAGCGGAAAGGGACATATTATTCGCAAGATTCACAATATATGATATACAAGACAGAGGATTTTCTTAACAAACAGCAGAGTCCATACTTTTTCAAGCAATTCACTTGCATGTCGTGGAATCCTCAGTGACTCAACCACCCAAAGGCAAGCCACTTTGCGCGTCTCAGCCTCATTGAAAGCACTGGGTGGATGGGATGGACGGAATTCCGAATCAAGATGAGGAGTGATGACATAGAAGGAGCGATAGAGGACAGCCGGAAATGGCTGACCATATTTGGACGACCACTGCCAAATGTTGGTGAGCTTGCCAGCTGATTGTTCTGGTCATTGGAATGACTGCATGACATGTCTGGCTCAAGTTGCTCAAGAGAGAATCTCAACTACAGAATTAAACAAATTCGTGCGAACTTGAGCATCACTAAGGATCCTCATGGTATATTGCAAATTGAATTCCTTACTTGATTCATCAAGATGAATTGCAACTTGTTTTTGGCAGTTTTCACGTGTCCATGCCCGTGTCTTTCCATGGCCTTGCACGGCTTGAACGTGCTGTCACCATGATGAATTTCCCAAGGATAGTAATCATTTGGGCTGGCTGTGCAACGACACAGTGTGCATGTTAAGACACGATGGTGACTCGGTGACCAAAGAAAATCAAGAACTCCCTTTGGAATGAAGCCCCAATAAAATCAGCTTCCTTTCAGCTGTAGAACATCCCCTGCAGCCAAAGCGACATACCAGCTGAAGCATAGCATAGCATAGATACTTCCACTTCCACAGTCTTCAGTTATTCAACATGAGTGGATCATTGGACATGGATGTGGCATGGGTTGATCCTAGACATTGCCTGGACATTATCCACACCGGATGCAGCGCTTGAAGCTGCTGCAGGTACAAGGGGTGACTTTCTCAATGGTCCCATAAATCCCATAAACATATCTGGAGTTTCTGATCAGGCTCTGTGTTGAACCCCCGACCACCAAATCTCAATGTTTCAATGCGCGTGGTCGGGGGTTTGATTATTTCGTCATATTTCGTCCATTGGAGCTAAAGCACCTCAGTTCACATTGACATCGAACTTTGGAACAGTTCACGGTTGCTTGGTCCATGCCGCATTCCACGGTTAGTACCGTCTGGCGCTCTTACGTTCTGACTTATTTTGGTGTCCAAAGTCTGTTTGTTTCAGCTCGTCTCAGACATGTCCGTCTGCATGCCGTTTTCCCGCTTAACACTGATTTAGCACAGGTAAATGCATGTAAATGCAGCATGTGTCTCTTTCGTCCCATTTTTTCTATACCTTAATTTGCAGTTTATTCCAAAGTGCGCAAAACATTGATTTTCACAGGTACATGCAGCATGTGTCTCTCGTCCCATTTTTTCTATACATTGATTCCCAATTTATTCCAAAATGCGCAAACACTGGAATTTTCCACGAAACTGGCCGCAGCTGATTCCCTGTAATTTTCTATACATTAATTCACGACTTATTCGTTTGACTTGCCCCTGCCGATTGATTCTGCAATTTTGCCCTGCGTGTTATTTTTTTGAAAAGAATAAGACTATTTTTTGTTTAGAAGCAATCTCACGCAGTCGAAGTTGCAAATCCATTGCACAGACCACCCGATTGCATCAGTCGAGAGGGAACTCCATTCTTCCCAGGAAAAAGTTACATCAACCAATTGGTCATATTCCGGCTTCATCCTACAGCATACGTAGTCGATACTGCTGTATTCGACTCGTAAGGAGACAAACACATGAAGTTGTTGTGTTTGTTCTTGTTTCTCATTTCCCTTTTGGATTCAAACTTGCCTGTTCCATTACTACAGCTTGCGTTGAAGGTGGTTTGCATGTCTGCTCATGCAATGCGTTTGCCGGGGACCCTGAGGACGAGCGCTGAGAGAAGTGATACACCAAATCAAAGTTTTCAGTCTTTTTTTTTCGGACCCTTCTTGATTTATCGACCCAGCAGATGACCACTACTGTTGCCATACAAGTCTCTGAAAATACATAGAAAAATTGTGGAATGGTGCAACCTACCAGTGCAAGGACTCTCAGAAGTGAGCTTTGCGTTCCCTGCTGACACAGCGATGGGAGGAAGAGATGAAGGAATCAAAACACAATGAAAGAAGAGAAAACAATATAAGAATATAATAAAACGAGTTGGCTCTGCATATGCTGCTTTTGACGAGACGGTGCAAGAAGCTAGCCAAATTCGCCTGGTCATAATAATAACCGACATCATGCAAGCCCGGGGACGTCCGTAATATTCCTGCCTTGCGTCATGCGACTGGGATCCTGGGCAAGAGAGTAATCCCGTCCACCGGCAGGCAGCTGCAACTCTTGCGCCCTTGAGTCACACCAGCCATTGCGCGCTCTTGCACCGCCGAGCCGAACATCGGGGAGATGCTCTGTAAAGAGCTCTCCTTAGTGTTTGGTCGGGGGTCAAGAGGGCGCATTGGCCAGTGACGCACGGGCGCTTGAGGGGCGGCTGCCTTCAGGTGGGCGGGATACTCTCTGCTCAAGGTCGCCGGCGCAGGGCCTTGGCAGGATGAACGGGCGGCGCCGGGGTTGGGTGTAGTTGGTTGCCGGAGGCGTTGGGCTGAGCGGCTTGCAGCTGGGGCTTGCCCGAGCTGCGAGTCGATCGGCCCTGCGCTGACCCCCGGCCCTGGGCTGCCCCGACCGGGTGATGGGCTTGTGGTATTGTACTGGTCACTCTCGTTAATAGCGGCGCAGAGCTGGCTCAAAGGGGCAGCCCAGGGCCGGGGGAGGCACTTATTTTTTTCTTTTAAAGGGGATATTTTGCGGGGGGGAAAATATCAAAAGAGGCACTCATAAGCATTAAGAGAGAGCTCTCTTCCACCCAGCTGGGTAAGCGAAGACAAGACAAGGCTTTGCAAACGGCTTGCAAATGGCACCAAGGAGTTAAGGCGTTCAACCATGCACTGTAACCAGTCTCGCTTGCAACTTAGTCTTCTTTGTGCTGTCCCATCAACGGTGCACTGTCCGTCCAAGCTCTTGCAAGTCCCAGGCCCAGGGTATTAGACCTAATTTGGAAGACCCATGACAATCTTGGAACAAGACTGATGTTGCAGCAGTGTTGCATAGCGACACCCGCTATGGAGTGTCACTGCCCGTGAATGCAAAGCAAAAAGGCCTTCAATTAACGGCCATGGAGCGGCAACTGGGAACTCATGTGAGATGTGGTGCTTCTTTCGGCTTCGTCATCTTGCAGTCTCATGTTCAAATTCACGGCCAGATGCATCTTTTTGTGCAGAACTTTTTCATACAGATCAATTGCCGGAGTTCAAAATTCCCTCTAGCGTAGATCATCCTACTTTGAAATTTTGTGCAATCGACCATGGAACCATTCCAAATTCACACCAGGGCGAAATGCATGCACAGCAAAAATTGCAGATCAGCCACAGTTGTGTGCGCCATGACATGCTCAGTCACAACAGGGAACAAATTGAAACCCAAATCGAAAACTTTGAATTCATGTAATTCATGCAAGCGCAAAATAAAATGACGCAAACAGTCACAGTCGACCCTGAATTTGGTTACGGGCGTTAGATCACCTAGACCCAAACTAACAAACTGGCTCCGGAAGTGCGACAAACAAGGACTCTAGGACCTTGCTATCGCATCCAAAAATTGGCACTGAACATCAACGTATGATCTTTTCATATCTTTTCTCTCGTTTGTATTCGTTTGTCACTAGAACTATCTAGAACTGTTCGCCGTATTTTTGAAGCAAAGCTTCGAGACCAGTGTCTCCCAGTGTGGGCAAACGGTTTGTCGGTTTGTTCATGTTTGATCATGCTTATTGATCTTATTGTGTCTACGCGGCCTGTTCAGAGTAGCATTTCGTTGAGCTTCAATTTGGACTAGAAGTGGTGCATGACACGTGCATGATGACCATGGATGGTCTTCAGATTGGCCGGATCCAGATCCCAGCTGTGATCCCGACTGTGACCGACTCCAGTCGTTCTGGTCGTGCCTACGGCAGTTCTGACTGCGGGCTCTGGTCTTTGCAGACGCGCCACACGCTGAAGTTGAAGAGGCAGGCCATTGTGATGGCGTGACGATGGCGCCATGTTAAGCGAGCGTGTCTAACGTGAATTGTTTGATCATGTTTGATCCTATTTGGAGAATCCGACACTTTGCAATCTTTTGAACGTTGCGCTTCACATTTTGATGCTGATGTGATCCTCAGCTTTCACTCTACTTGCAGCAGCCTTTGTGCATTTTACGCATTTGGATGCATTTGGAAAAAAGGGGTTCACTCACAACCGGTCAGCACGCTGCTTCCAAGTCGAGGATGTCGAACGTGTTTGTTCACGTTTTTTTTTGGCTGGCTCGAAACATCGCAAAGTGTTGGTTCTGCATTGACTCTCTGAAATGTCTCTGACAATGATGGATTGTTTCGGATGAATGGCAGGTTTGGAAGTTTTTGGCCTGCGACACTAGTCACGGGCCTGGGGACAAGGCTCAAGATGTCAGTGTGGTGTGGAGATATAGCAAGCGGAGCCAGCAGTGAAAGGTACCATTGACTTCAGATTAGTAATTGCCGCGCGCAGTACCATCACCGACTTGCAAGCCGACTGTGGCATTTGATCCTCCATGTCACAATGACAACCATGGCACTAAACTAAACCTCTTTGTTGAGAGAAACATTGTAACATCATGTTTTCATGCGGATGAACATATTCGACGTTGCAGTGGCCAAGAGACTTTGGTGATTTTTCGACCGTCATAGATTTGTGCAATTTTGTGCTCAGTGCATCTCAGTGCCTTCTGCGCAAGGCAACTTCGGCGCTCTGGACGGCCGCGAAGGACCCCGCAACTCAAAGGGCCTTAGCGGCCTTAGCGGCTAGATGGATAGACGATGATAGACGGATGGATGGATAGACGGATAGACGGATGGATCGCGATCGCAAGATGAGATGAGATCAGATACGAGTACATTCTGAGTACATGGATTAGATATGACTAGATTACAGTAGACCAGTTCAGAGTGGACTATAGATTGGCATAGATTGGCTAGGTTCAAGAACCACACTTTCCTTTCATTTTGCGCTACAGGAGAAATCCCCTCTATGCTTCATCCTCGGAGGCCGCATTGGAAGAGGGCGGCTCAAAAGATAGCTGAGATGGACCAACAAAATCCAACAAATAGGACAAGTTTAGTTTTGAACATTTGATTTTATATTGAGGCAATAATTTTGATTGAACCATACCCAAGTATTCTCAGTTGGAAACCAAACATCGCTAATAGCAGTGGCTTCAACCATGGATGTTTAGTAGCTCTAGGACTCTAGGTGCTGCCAAGTTTGGAACAGTTGAGACGGCACATCAACATATATCAACTCAGAGGCTGGCGAAGCCTCCAACCTGGTGATGTGCTTTGACTTCGACGGAGTTGCAGCCTTTTGCAGCCTTGCATTTGGAAAGACTTGGGTTTGAGTTTTTGACAGATACATTTTATTTCTTGTTCTGATAGCACTGATCTTCGTGCATACCAAGGTCGTTTGTGACTCTGTGAACGAAAGCTCCACTGCCGCGTGGTTCTCAGCTTAAAGCGTCGCTCTTTCAACGATTGGAGTATAATTTCAGTATAATGCAGCTGTCATGTAAAGTCATGATGGAACTCATAAACGCTATAGCCTTTGTTGTCTTCGTGGTCCAGTTTCAGGCCTGGAAGCATGCCAAAGAACTGTGGCCGAGCTTGGCTTTGGGAGATTCACCAGAGTTGGAACCTCAATCTTTCATCCCTGGGAGATTTTGCAAGGCCATTGTTGTCTGTTGAGCTCACTCACAGCACATTCCTCGGCATGGGCGGCTTGCAGATGTGCAGAGGCCCTTCTTGGAACCAATGCGGCTGGTGCTCTTGGCTCGCTTAGTGGTCCTTGTGATTGCCAACTCTGTACTTTCGCATTACCCGATCTTGGAAAGCCTAGGAACAAATCGAGTCCTTATTTTGTATCCTGCTGCACTGCTGCACTTGTCATTCTGATGTAATTCTTGCATGGTCTTGCATGTTTGCAAGTGCCGGCTGACTCGAGGTGCGTCCTGTGGTGGAAACTGGCTGGGAAAACACTTTGATCATCAGGAGAATTTCAGGGCATAAGCAGCAAGCTGAAGCAAGCTTTCACTCGTACCAAAAGATCCAAAAGGCTCCAATGGCAACGGCGGGCATACACAGAATTTTTGGCACTTGTTGGACCACAGAAATGCATTCGTTTGTGGAATCATATTGATAGGATTTGGTAGGTATATTACGGTATATTATGTATATAATGTATATATATATAATTATATATATATATATATGTATCATATATAACAGACAAACTACATACATATATTATATACACAGTATATTGATACATTATAAGCATATCTGACACTGTACTTTAATGTTTGTTCCATTCCAGTAATTGTATGTATTTTAACGTATATGTTGCATATGCATATATTATATAATATCATATAATATAATGTTTCAATATGAATTTTGTTTTGTCTCATCAACACTTGTCAAAGCTTATCGTTGTTTGCTTTGTTGTTTGTCTTAGTCAGGTAATATCAGATCGTATCAAGTAGCATCTTATTATATAAGTTATATACATCATATTCATTGAGTCTAATTTCTTCAATTTAGACATTTCTTGAGATACTTTTGGCATCTCGAAATGCATTTCGCAAAAAGTCTGCAGGATCCTTGCAGAGGCAGACTTGGTCGAAGCCTCGCAGCGCTTTCAAAAGCGCCGAGTGCTGAGCGTGATGAATCCTGAACGACGCAGGAGAACACAATTTGCATCATTTCAATTCATTTCAATTCATTTCATTCTTTTTCATTCAGATTGATTCATCTTGCAGATTATTTGCATCATTTGGTTTGGCATTCTGGATTAGGCATGAAGAACAAGTTGGAACAAGGGCTTTCTATACCACGAGGAGAGTTTTCCATGCTTATGCTACCTGGACAGTATCTGAAACTGGCTAAGGCCCTGCCAAGCGTAGAGCAAATGCGGACGTCTCAGCCAGTGATCGAAAAGCTGTATTTCCATGTATTTCTATCCATCCTTTTTACAATCCAGCAGAAGGAGTATATGAGCTACAGCCAAAATTTACTGTAATGCAAAGTAGTATTCGAGACATCTTCATTTTCTGGAAATTGAGCTGGGGCTTGGAAAACGATATATATATATAATACACTCTTTAAAAAAACCATAACATTTGCTATGTTCCCAAAATCTGAACAACGATAATACACTCTTCAAAAATTGACGACTTGGAGCTATATACTAAATAGTGACCGTGGCCTATATAGTTTTTGGTGGCACTGGAAATAGCACATGCCCAACCCCAAATTGTACAGACAAATACAGCAATAACATATATATATATATATACTATTTATGATATACATAACATAAATATGTTGCGGTCTGTTGGATCCTTGAATTCTGCAATGTGCATGCACAGCTTGCTGTCGTTGGCATGGTGAGTCCAGTACTTACAGAATACTTACAGAAAGACTGATGGATCGTTTCGTTTGAGAGGTATCAACAAGTAAGGTGGTGTCTTAAGAACACAAGCAATGAAGACCTTTGAGTCAACTGGACTTGGCAGATTCGATCCAAGGTGGCCAGTTTGGGAGGGCCATCTTTGCTAGATGAACCAGAGTCGTGGCGCCCTGAATATTTTCCTTGGATTGTGGGAACATTGGGAACGACTTGCTGAAGAAGCTGGTTGTTCTCGGCTCGTTGCACGAACAAGCCATGCTCTGTGATATCAGCTACTCTAGGTGGTGTTCCTTCAGTCTTTGCTCCTCAAGTCATTTGCGTCAGTTTTCAATTATTCTGAAACAGTAGCAATGTCTAGCATATGCTCACTTAAGGGACTGATCTACGCAGCCCATAGCAGTTTGTTCTAAAGCATTTCGATCACAGAAACAGAGAACTTGAAGAGGAGCCCAGGTTGACAAACCCCAACTGCCAACCTCCCTTTGCTTGCAGCTTCTTTGAGCCCTTCTTTCATACTGACGCAAGAACATCATGTATTGCTTGTCTCTGAGATCTTCGTCAGCCGAGCTGATTGACAACCTTGGGTATTTGCCTCAGCCAGCTCTGTCCATCACTTTGATTGCATCCCATGATAGCGTGCCTTGCCTGTTGGTGGAGACGAATCAAACCTCCTAACTATGGAATCAAGATAAGATATTGCATACTGACCACACTGCATGCACCTGCATCCTTTCATCTCAGCAACTCTGATATCACAACACAGCTCTGTAGACTTCATCTTTCCTCCCTGAGGATAGCTGGACTGATGTGTAAGAACATTCTCGGCAGTCTCTTCCTCAAAATGACCTGTCATATGATTCATATGCCAAGTCAGATGTTGTTTGATTGTTTGACTGTCTATTTTTTGGTCTTCGCCCTCCTTCCATCACATTTCTGTCAGACTCTTTCTTTTGACTCAAAGTTTCAAGTCAGGAGGTTGCTCTTGGCAGGGCATCTTCCTTTCCCGAGCACGCCTTGAACTTAGGCTGGGAGCGAATCAGGGACCAAAAAATTGCCGAGCTGCAACTCGATGTTGAGGTGCCGGGTTGGTTCATGTTGGTTCTGCACTCTCTTTGCAGTACTTTGCACATCTTTGCACCCGTGTCTCCTTCTTTCACTGCTTGTCTTGCCAGTCTCCCTCCTCAAGAAATGCACATGGGATATTTGAATGACTTAGAGCGACAATTGAGTGCCTGTTTAGCTGTATGCTTCTTCGACGAGTGTATGTGTTGCCATGTTTTCGTGCTTGTCTCAGCAGGAACTCATTAAGGGCTTTGGCGACGTGGGGGCCCAAGTGGGCTGAAGGACTTCCTGGATATCTCCTCGGCTCATGGGAGTATATGCAGACTCTTTCAGCTAGAGCGTTGTGATGGATTGTGATTTCATGTTTTCAGAATTGCTGTTGAATGATTTTGCTCCTTTGCAAACTTTGGTTTCGAGAATTGATAAGATTGGAATTGGAGGGACTCGTTGTGCAGAGTCATTGGCGCTTTCAGGTCCGAGACAGATGGATGGCACAGGATCTCAAGTCCTGGTTTGTTGGGCCACCTAGCAGGCTTAGCAGACTTGGATACCTGGCACCTCTTGGCACCTATCAGCTCGGAAAGCGTTCGAACCTTTCCATCCTCATTCTACAACTACACACTTTACCCGGTTGATGTTAGAGGCTGCAGGGTCCTGCGTGCAGAGTCTTTCTTGATTTGCTGCACATAGTTTTTGCAGCTGAGGGCTGCAACATGGCTTATGACATTGCCAGATTCTCAGTAGCCGAGCAGGGTCTTAGATTCGGGCTAGTGGTGCTTAGAAGAAAGGAGGAGAAGTTTCCCTGGGCATAGCTGAGATATATCTGAGATGAATTCAGATGTCATTTGAAGGTACCAAGCCGCGATGATGTTTGATGCACCAGCGGGGAAGAGATCACGGAAAGACTTTGACCCTTTGCAGGTTGGCCAGTCAGAGCACAGTAATTCATCCTTACGATCCAAATCTATAAGTAGCAGCAGTCCCGGAAGTTATTGATGTTTTTCTATGTTTTTCTAACAACATTTGATCTGTTATGCATTGCAAGCAATCTGCTCTCAAGAGATCAAGCTTGCTGCACCAAATTTAGAGAGGCCTGCAGATGGATGGCTGAGTCTGAGGTTCCTGACGTTATGGTTGAAATGCTTTCTCGTGGCGCGCAGGCTGGCACATGCAAGTGACAAGTGAAGTTGGAAGAATTTACAAAAGCAGTCAGCACACACACACAGAGACTGACATACAGCATTTCCAGCTGCAGGTGTTTGTGATAACCACGATGCTTGGCAGCATTGGCCTAGGACGAGTTGCCAGGCTTGGCATGATCGAGATTCTCAACAATGCTGACAATGCTGGTGCAAGTTTTTTGAAGCTACCTCTGCCTCCTGATAGGGTGTGAAAGAATCTGGACCTTTGTTGATCCCGGTGTCCTTTATGTTTGACTCGCCTACAGATGTGCCAGATGAACATAGATGAACGAACCTTGGAAAAGGATGGAAAAGGAACGTTCTGCAAATTGCTCACCGCCGCCCAACTACCAGAATTTAGGAGGGCAATTCTTACATATGGAATTGTCGTTTTTCCGTTTTGAGATAATTTTTCGGATGTCTGTTTCCCTTCTTCTCTGCTTCTCCGCTTTTTTGCTTCTCTGAACCTTTGCCTTTCCATGCTTTTTTTGCTTCTCAAGCCTAAATACACGGCCCTAAACCATCCCAGAAAACTAAAGCAACCCTAAGTAAAGCCTAAAGAACCCCGAGATAAACCTGAAACTTCGCCCAATGTATAAACCCTAAACCAGTCCTAGTTCGATCCTAAACCAACCCTAAATAGATCTTAAACCAAGCTTAAATAAAGCCTGGGCCTAAACCAACCCTAAATAAACCGTAAGCCAACCTTAAATAGATCCTAAACAAACCCGAAATAGATCTTGGTTCTAAAACCAACCCTAAATTGTCAATAAAGCTAAAACCAGCCCCAAATAAACCCTAAACCAACCCTTAATGAACCCTACTAGTAGTTGCAAAATACCATGCGACATGAACAGTTGGAGTACCAAAACCTTGCAAACACCAAGGTTCGAACTCCGAAATGTTGCAAATGCCATTGAAATGGCAGCTTTCAGCTCCAAAATGCTGCAAATAGCAGGGAAAGCGGACAGAACAGGAAATCAAAAAATCCCAAGACAGAAAAACAATAATTCCCAAAACAATTCTTGACCCGAATTGAAGCCCAGACTTCAAAAATAGGTTCTGTTCCACCTGTTCCTCAATTGGACCTTGGGCCCACACTGGGCTTTGTTTGAGTTATCGGATAGAGACCCGCGCCAGACCAGTTGAACAAGTCTGCACAAATCTAGCTCCAGGAAAGGTGGACGTGTTTGATGCATATAATATCATATAATATCATATAATCATATAATTTATTGTGATATATATATAATACAATTAGACACGTGCAAGTCATTACGTACTAAAACTTACTATATATTGTTTAAAGATCCATCAATTTGTCAATCGATATGATACGATACACAATATAGATCTTTATACATAAACACATCTCTACATTATATGTATAATATGTGTATATATATAATACACACATATATATAATGTATATATATATATACACATATGAGTGACCATCAATACCCCCGCAGAAGAGTTTTATACACACGTATCGTTGGATTATGTTGTTGTCATTTTGTGGTGCATTTCGCCTGGGAGGTGCAAGAAAGCGCAGGGGTGGGCGCACGATATATTAGTACTCGTATATGTTTTTTCCCTTCAATTAGGATGTGTGGTACTGAACAGGTTTAGCAGAGCATCGATCAATTTCTTGGAAACCAGGTCTTGGACAAGCATCGATTAAATTTACCAGCGGCGCTGGTCTGAACCATGTGTCTGTGCTATACATAAAGAAGTTAAATCACATGGATGAATTGATTCCCGAATGGTGTCAGTATGGTCGAAAAAGAGTGTAGCTCACATAGAAGTTTAATTCCCAAACGGTCCCCCCGAACTTAAAAGAAGGTTGACGCGAATCATATTTCAAGGGGTATTGTAGAAGGAGATGCATTCACAACTAGTTGCACACATCATCAAGGCTACAAATTGCAGCAACATTTTCATAGATTCGCATGCACCTACACATAGATGGACATCGCAATGCAAGGAACAATGACATACTGTACCTTGGCACAACTACTAAATGAAGTTTCCATTGAGTGATCTACTTTGCATTGCGCTGCACTGCATTGCTCATCATTGCCCTGCATTGCAAATTCGAGGGAGCTGGCTCCATACTGGGTACTTTGCCTTCCCACTGCATGTGCCTGGAATTTTGGACCTGATCAGCCCGAGTCCCGAGGAAGCAGAAACGCTTTGCAAAGGCACTTCTTGAGGACAGGCAATCCGGCTCCGTGTTGAGAGAGACCAGGTGTCCAAACAGGAAAGACAACGCTTTGGCACTCGCATTTCGCATCAGGAAAATTCAGGAAATGCTTACACCGTGTTACAATTGATTATGATTTCTTGCAAACCAAAAGTATGCTTTACCAGGACTTTGGAGTTGAGCTGCCGGAAGCGAACCTCTTTGTTCTCACCTCACATCACGAACAGACGGTCTCTTCTTTTCAGAGATGAAATTTTCTTTTTGTAAAACGGCAGAACGGAAGCATACGGAAGCATTGAGCGTTTGTTCCAATCAAACATAGCTGAGAGAGGATAGAGAGGGGGAACTCCGTGGGATGTCAGCAGCCAAGGCATTGGAGGATGGCCCAAAGACCAAAGTTTTAAAGTCTTTGCTCGCCAAATCCGAGTGCCCGCTGGCATGGACGTTCCTATTCTTGCATTTTAATGCATTCTAATATATTTTAATATATTTTAATGCCTTTTAAGGCTATCTATCATAGTCATAGCTGCTTTGTGTCTTGGAACGTGTAGCTTTGTGTCTCCCAGACTTCGGCCCTGATGTGATGTGACACATGTCCAAATTAGCGTCGAAGAGCAATGCAAACTGATGAGGTCAGTGCAGGTCAGTGCAGGGTGGTTTGAAGATGGACTGGCAGAATGACCGCATGCACTGTGCAATCAGGTACGAAGGAAAAGAGTTCCACTTTATTGAGGACAGGCCAATTGCATTTGATTGCCATAGTTTGAGCGCATTGACCGAGTGGAGTCAAGGTCACACCTACACCTTGACGATGGCTGCGATTGTTTTATCAAGCGTCAGAAGTCACATTTAGGACCATGAAGACAGGCAAGTTGGAACTTCCATGAGCCTCCCACCCCAAAACAATTTCCGTAGACATATAAAGGAGCGTAAAGAGTGCTTTTGATTCTGCTGCACCTGAGCCTGAATGCCGCTCGCGTTCTTGGATATGGATGGAATAGATGCAAACAGCATCAAACAGTCATGTTCCATTGAACGCGTATTGCCGTATTTTTGATGTGGTTGCAGTGGATACGTGACCGATACGCCAAGGTGCTACAGTGCAATGAAAGCAGATGGGAAACAAATGTCTGGCAAGCTTGCAATATCTTCAATAACAAGGAAAGTATGCCTGAGTATGCAAAGACGTTGAAACGTTGAAAAGCCTGGTACTGGAACCCTGGCAGGACATGGCAGGACTAGAATGACTAGAACCCACATGTTGACAGGCCCAACAGGCCAGGCTAAAAGATGCTAAAAGGCCAAAAGGCCAAAAGGCCAACGAAACGTTCCGAGACGTTCTTTGACGATTCTATGAGATCATGCGTGCTGGTCGCATCGCAATGTCGATCGCGCCGGATCCCTTCGTGCCTCCCTGCGTTGCGGAATTGGAGCTCAGAAGGCCCACGAGGAACAGTGATGAACAGGGGCAGCCACTCGACTCTGCAATGATACAGTATGCACTGATTCTAGATGATTCTTCGGCAACTAGTTGACCTCGGGATAGACTTGACTCAGATTTTCAGATTTCAAGTCTTACTTATCTTACTTTACTTCGAAGGTCACTGCAACACCTTTGAGCTTTGGAAAGAAAACATGTGGAAGGCTATCTTCTCCAAAGACTGAATTGTCCACAAACAGCAGTTTTTTGAATGTGTGGAAGCACTCAGTGTTTGAGATCTAACATTTGCATGCAGGGGGCCACTGTTTCGCGCCCTGTTCGTCAAAGCCAGTCAGCTTGTCGTTCGACCACTCAATCCCCAATTTCAAATGCATCAGAAGATCCTTGGGTTTGATGCCCAAGTTTCTTGTCGAAATGATGGAAACACAGAACCAGTCGGTTTTTATTTGCTTTCATCTTCTTTCCCAATTTCCTGCCTTACATTCACTACATACTTTGATATGTCCATGGTATGGCAGGTGGGCAAGCTCAAGCACCTTCGGAGGTCTTTCGGAAAGCAGATTCTTTAGGGTTTACGTTTTTCGATCTATACATTTTGATAGGTTTCCCAGCTTAAGTATGTGACCTTTTCAAAACTCCAACTTTCGCTGCCAAAAGAAAAACAGGAAGAGTCTTGGCACTTCTGCGTCCCCTGGTAACGGATAGAGCACAAAGGCAACAAGAAGAGCACAGGCCCTTTGAAAGAAATATTAATATTGTTTCTGTATGGTGGTATTACATTATATTCACCTGCTTGCTGATCTAATATTAAGGCCAGGCGCTGTGTGTTGCCCGGAAGGTTCAAATGGTGTTTAAACAACATGTTTAAACATTATCCTTAAACATGCTCAAACACCTGCGCAGAGCCAGTTTTTTGAGATTTCCCAGACGACGAACCCTAAACGCTAAAACCCTAAACGCTAAAACCCTAAACCATCCTAAACCCTAAAACCCCAAACCCTAAAACCCTAAACCCTAAAACCTAGGCTCTGAAAACTTTGAATCCTGAACTGGAAAACACTGGGTATAAGCAGTATTTTCATGTATTTTCTGCAATCTCTCCTATCATATATTCGACAGTACGACATTCTCAATGTTAATGTCTGGGCAACACACGGCGTCTGTGGGTAATATTACCATAAACTACTCTGTGGTCATTGTCATTTGTTTTCATACCAAAACTTCAAAATCTGCCTGTACCAATGCTACTCGCAAGTGTGACCAGTTGCCCTCAGTTTCAACATAAGTTCAACAAGGCCTCTACATTGCTGCTGGGAGTATCGCCCTTTGGGACACCAACCGACGATGCCTGTGATTCTGTAGTCAACTCTGCTTGTGATTGACTTCCAAGAGGACACACACACAATTTTAAGATATTTTAACCATTTTTAACCCTTGGATACCCTTGGTGCAGGTCACCGGCCGAGAAGTAGCAGCTCTCAGCATTGCCCTGCGCGAGTATGGTCGCCGCATGGACGAGGCAGCACTGCGCTTGTTGCCAGAAGAGGCCAAGCATTGAAAGCAACGAAGCATTTACCGGGAGGGCAATGGCATGCAATGGCAATGGCGGAAAGACATGGAAAGACAAAGGACAATGATGCATAACGATGCAAAAAGATGCACAAAGATGCTTCCAGCCGTAACAGTAGCGATTGCAAAAATCGCAGACTTGCAAAAGAGGAACGCAGAATAAGGCAGATGCATTGTATGGGAAGAGGACTGATTTGAAGGACAATTTATGTGCAGTAGAGCAGAGATGTGTTTAGTTTAGTCCCTAGGAACGAATAGGTGTATTAGTATACCGTACTTGAAGCAGATTGAGCCTGAGTGTTGCAGCGATTCTGGGAAATTGGGGTGAGTGTTTGTATGCAGTGGATTTTGAAGTAATATGGAACCGAATGGAATGTGATGGGCTTCTTTGCTTTAGACGTTGCACAGGCAGCTGCCAAATTGGTGGCTTTCAACATGGCAATAGCAAGCTGCGCAAAGGCCAGGAAAGGAAAGTATGCATGCTCTAAGGATGTTGATCGCCGCAAAAACGAGAAGTGACGAGAAGATACGAGAAGTGTTCCTTTACGTTACTTTTGCAGATTCACAAAGTTACCGTCACCGTCAGCTTTTTTTTCGGGAGGACTCGACAAACTCATGGAGCACCTTAGACATCGATTCAGAAAGAGCAACTTAAAGAGCATGTGTTTTTGCAAATGTTTGAAGCTTTTTCTGCAGCACTGATCTCAACATCCCCACTACGGAGGTCAGCCATTGGAATGTTGCGGTCATGTGCTCAGTTGGAGGAAGTCAGAGCACTTTGACATGTGCAATTATTTTCTGCACAACAAGCCTTCAATGGTTGCCTCCGCCAAGTCGAATGGCATGATACAGTACTCTCTGACACCTGCTTTTTCTCCAAGATTTAACAATTAAGGTAGTTCTGGCCGGAGAGCTTGACTATTTTGAGATATTTTGATAGTATTTTTGAGATTTTTTGAGTATCATTGAGTGCGTGACACATTGTGACACATTGTGTAGGTGTGCGTAGGTGTCTGTAGATATTCGCCAAATCTCCAAACCACTTCTGCTGTGATCATCCCAGGCGTATTTGCTGCACTCGATGCCGGAGAAGGCAAGCTGGTGCTGTCGGCATCGGAATGCCCAATGCCTGCGCAAAGCAGGGTTTCAGCCGTAAGTAGGTAAAAGATGGTAAAAGGACTTTGTAAAATGATGTAAAATGTATTAAAATGTGAAACAAGTGAAATTGTGCAAAGCGTCCCGTCGATTTTTGGATCCAGATGTCACGAACGAAACCTCATCAATTGCGAATGAAACCTCATGAATTTCATATGTGGATCTACATGGATCTACACACTATCTAACTACGTGCTGAAGATCTAGGGCCTAGGTCAAAGCATTGAGTAGTTTCGAAGTAAATGGCCAAATATCAAGACTTGTGTGGAGTGGATGCAGCGTAGCTACTAGGACTGCCAACCAAATGCGGTGAGCTTCACAGCCGCTATGAGTGTCGTTTGCCAAAGAAGTACAGACTGGATGGTGGGATTTGGTGGGTTTCTTTGTGGAAACATGCCTAGCATTTTGTGGAACCGGATGTCGCTCTCTGAGACTCGTGGACAAAAACAGATCAGGATGAAATCCTTCAATTGATTGAACACCGTCATGAGTCATCAGTGTAATCTGCAAGCACTTTTCGGCAATTTCTGGCAGGCTAAGTCAACACTCTAATTTGGATTTTCCTTTGCTCGGCCTTTGGGCTACGCGGCTACATGATGAGACAACATGAGACAACATTTCACATTTCTGCGGGCACCGCTCTGCATCCGTGTACCTGCCAAGGCCTGCAAGAGCGCAAGCCAGTGGCGGATAGCTTTGTCTTTGATGCGCAGTTTTCAGCATAGCGGACTGCCAATGGATGCCTTTGCCTGCAGTGCGGCCACTTGGCTGAAGGATGCTGAAGGAATCTTGGGAACCTTTCATGGCTGTGGAAAAGGGAAGCAGCCATTTCGGATGGAGAGCACAGGAGAGCTCTGAGACGGGGCAACAAGAACGAAGAACATATATACAGTATATATATATATATAGGAACTGCTAGTGATTGATGAGTCATCTAGACCCACTTGATGAGATTGATTTGAATCTCTGCATATCTATCATATCTTTGCTTAGAGCCTCTGTAGGAAAACGTGGGAAAACGTAGTTGACATATGTTGACATCAATTTTCTTTGTTTTTTGACCTGATTTTGTAAATGTAGATCAGATATGATCAAGCTCCATGTTTGGGACAGCACATGCCCTCAGCGCGAGAACCGGAAAATATTTGCTGTGCAACCAGAGGCCATGAGTGCCTGTGAAAAGGGTCGCCTTTGGTCACAGGCCTTGAGGTGGGGCGAGAAGTTTGAAATCACGTGATACATCGTGATACAACGATTGTAGTAATCGAAGGAAGTTTAGAAGCTATACTTCCGACAATATGGACAGTTGAAAAGCAGAGGTGAGAAGAGTCAGAAGAGAAAAGATCAGAAGAAAGAAGATGTAGATGCGCGAAAAGATAGGAAAGTCGCGATTCACTGTGTATTCCAATGATTTGTGGCTCCGGAGGGTCGAAAAGTAGGCTCGCTAAAGCGGCGGGTGCGGAGCCAGCTGGCCAGATGAGAGAGGAAAAATTGCACGCCGTTGTGGCGCGAAGCACATTTCCAAGTGAAAAGTGACAAAGCACCAGAGGAGCGGACCACTTTTGGAA